CAGACTCTTCCATTTCCACTTGCTCCTAGCATAAGGCTCAAGATAATCACAAAAGCATTATCTAAGGACAAAATTGAGGGCCTCCATAGATGGATCAGGTTACAGCAAGACTCCAATTTTTTTTTCATTTTTAAAAATTATCATATACGGTATCTCACTAGGTTGGCCTTGAGCTCCTGACTTCAAGTGACTCTCTTGTGTCGGCTCCCGGAGTTCAGAGTAACTAGGACTACTACAGATGTGTGCCAAACATGCGTGGGGGGAAGGTTAGAGATGGAACCCCAGATTCACACACTAAGTTAATGCTCTACATTGAGGTACATCTTCAGACATTAGTCTTTTATTTATTTTTTTTTGGGGGGGGGGAACCTGGGCGCTGTCCCTCAGCTCTTCAGCTCAAGGCTAACACTCTACTCCTTGAGCCACAGCGCCACTTCTGGTTCTCAGAATAAACTCAAATCACTATAGCAAATGCTTAAGAACCTAACAGAATCGTATCTCCTTTATATTCATCTACAGCTTTACGGGTGGGCGGATTATTTCGCAAAGTTACCGCTGGAGGGGGGGGGGAAACAGACGCTAAGGACTTAGGATATTTGCCCAAGTTGACAAGGGTTGGAGATTCAGTCAACTAACCATCAGTACCCTCCCCTGCCTTCCGAAAAACGGTATGGTCTTGGTACCTGTCACCAAGCTAAGGTGTGCCACGGGTCTCAGAGCCCCGTTCCGGGTCAGTCCACCCACACCTTCCCGCTCACGCTGCAGGCGGCTCCCGCGACGGAACTGAAGCCCGACGGGCGCGCGCATGCGAACTTGGGGCGTCGCAGCCTCCGATAGGCACCGCCCAGCCTCGAGGGAGGGGGTTGGGGCAAAACCGCCGCACCACCGCTCGGGTTTCCAGCCACGACAACGCAGGCCATGAGGGCCTCGGCGCCCGAGCCGGCGCTCCGGCCTCCAGAGCTGAGCTCAGCCTCCTTCGAAGTGGGGGGCGTCGCGGGGAACCGGAAGGCTCCCGAGGACGCAGCGGGCCCCGCGGGGTCCGCAGCCTGCGCTCAGCCTCCACGCCGCTTCCCGCCCCTCACCCGGGCAAGCCTCGCCTCAAGTGAACCCTCAGCTCACAGTCGGACTCCGTCCCCCACACAAGGACGCCCCCCGCGGCCTCTACCTGGACTTGAAAGAAACCATGGTGGACCAACTTCATCCTCCCGCCTCGGAAGTGACGCGACCCAGCCGACTAGACTCCATCCAATCACAGGGCTCAAGATGCGCATGCGCCTCTAGGTCGGGGCAAGAAAGACCTAGGAGACCCCTTTCAGGTTCCCAAGGGAAATTCAGGAGACAGTGGATTGGGCTCCAGGGAATAGGTAAACATAGACACATGCATACACACACACACACAGGATTTTATACACATATATGAGATATATTGTTTTGGGGTTCTTTTTGTCTTGAACTCTGGGCCTGGTGCTATCCCTGAGGTCTTCAGCTCAAGGCTAACACTTTACCACTTAAGCCACAGTGCCACTTCTGGCTTTCTGGTGATTTATTGGAGATAAGACTCTATGGACTTTGTTGCCCTGGCTGGCTTTGAACCTTGGTCCTCCGATCTCAACCTCCTGAGTAGCTAGGAAAACAGGCGTGAGCCGCTGGTGCCCTGCATGCGTATGTATGTTGGATTACATATATATGTTTTTAATGGTAGAACTGTTTGAGGAGGTGGAGGAAAATATTATATTTGTAAATGAAGATGACAAAACAAAACTCACTGAGATCATGCCTGTAATTCTAGCTACTCAGGAGGCTGAGATTTCTAAGAGGTTTGAAGCCAGTCCAGACAAGAAACTCCAAGAGACTCTGATCTCCAACTAAAAAGCAAAAAGCCAGAAGTGGAGATATGGCTCAAGAGGTAGAGCACTAGCCTTGAGGAAAAAAAAAAAAGACTTCAGGGACAACACCTAGAATTTAAGCCCAGGACTGGCACTAAAAAACAAAACAAAACCTAGGTGCTGGTGGTTCACATGTAATACCAGCTACTCAAGAGGCTGAGATCTGGGGATCATGGTTCAAAGCCAGCCAGGGCAGGAAAGTCCAGAAAACCAGAAGTGGAGCTGTGGCTCAAGTGGTAAAGTGTTAGCCTTGAGCTGAAGACCTCAGGGATAGCGCCCAGGCCCAGAGTTCAAGACCCACGACCTACAGAAACAAAAACAAAACAAAAACTGACTATGGGGAGATAGCTTGCATTGTAATTTCTATTCTCCTTATTTCACTGTTAAAAAAAAAAACTTAACAGAGCTATTAAATGACAAAGGCAGTAGGTACTGGGAAAGTAAGTGAGCAAGGGGTCATACATGTGTGAAATAAGGTGAAATGTCTTCAAATGATTACAATACAATTACATGACAAATGGGGTGGAAGTGCTAGAGGTGCTAAAGGAATGGCAAAGGAAAATGGAAAGGGTGAGTATGGTCAAAATGCTTTATGTTCACATGTGAAAATAGAACAGTGAGGCTTACTGAGATTGGTTTGGGAAGGAAAAGGTGAGATAAAAGTGATGAAAGGGCTGGGAAGGTAGCTCAGTGGTAAAGTGCTTGCCTTGCATGCATGAGGTCCTGGGTTTGATTCCTCAGCACCATATGAGCAGAAAAAGCCAGAACTGGCACTGTGGCTCTAAGTGGTAGAGCACTAGCCTTGAGCTAGTGCCCAGGCCCAGAGTTGAGAGAGAGACAGAGACAGAGAGAGAAGACTAAGCCAGGCACTGGTGGCTCATGCCTGTAATCCTAACTTACTCAGGAGGCTGAGATCTGAGGATCACGGTTCAAAGCCAGCCCGGTAAGGAAAGTCCACAAGACTCCTATCTCCAATAAACCACCAGAAAACTGGAAGTAGCACTGTAGTTCAAGTGGTAGAGCACTCACCTTGAGCTCTCCAGCTCAGGGACAATGCCCAGGCCCAGAGTTCAAGCCACAAAATGGAAAGAAATTGATAATTTTTTTAAAATAAATATATAAATAAGGTGGCTCACGCCTGTAATCCAGAAGTGACATTGTAGCTCAAGTGCTAAGAACACTAGCCTTGAGCTGAAGAGCTGAAGGACAGTTCCCAGGCCCAGAGTTCAAGCCCCATGGCTGACAGGAAAGAAAGAAAGAAAAAGGAAGGAAGAAAGAAGAAAGCAAGCAAGCACAAGAGTTCAAGACCCACAACTGGGGCTGGGAAGGTGGCTCAGTGGTAGAGTTCTTGCCTTGCATGCATGAGGCCCTGGGTTCAATTCCTCAGCACCACATAAGCAGAAAAAGCCGGAAGTGATGCTGTGGCTCAAGTGGCAGAGCATTAGCCTTGAACATAATGAGGCTGGGACAGTGCCCAGGCCCTGCTGAATTCAAGCCCCAAGATCAGGGGGAGGGGAGAGGACAATGAGCCAAGGGCCTAGCCATGCCAGAACTCTTTTCTGAAAGAGTTTTAAACTAATTCAGAATTTCTGTAAGTTACAAATATTCAAAGTTCTCATTATATTAACTATAAAACATACTGCTGGGTGCCGGTGGCTCACACCTGTAATCCTAGCTACTCAGGAGGCTGAGATCTGAGTATCTTGGTTCAAAGTCAGCTGGGGCAGAAAAGTCCATGAGACTTTTTTTTTTTTTT